CTTCTTCTGTTTGTTGCAACATTTATGAATATTTACAGAGAGAATTAATCATCTTCAGAAAAACTGAAAGAGAATAAGAAGCCTACATATAATTTTTCAATTACTTTTGAACAATTATACCAAGCACTAAGCATGCCAAAGTTGATATCTCCCAAATTTTATACATGTACATATATAATTATAAAGACCGATTCTAACCATTTATAAATCTCCACTCAGTGACTATTGACAAATGGCAATAGCAATGATAACCTGATTTTGAAAAGGGGTAAAGTTTTCAGATGCCTCATAACAATAGGAAGAATAATAATCATAATGATTGATTATTTATAAGAACAATGGAAAGTATTAATATCACAACATTAAAAAATGAACTCTTATTTATAAGATACAAGATTGTTTTTTTTCACATTTACTACAAAATTCATTTTACTATGGACAAATATTCAAATTGGTTTTCAGAAATGAAATAGTTTCAATCAGCTAACCCGTGGGTTGTGAATTCACTCCTCTGAGGCAAGACTTAATATGGAAATGTACAGGGAATTAAAGAAGGCACAAAGACATTTCTGTTTTTAAACAATTACTTTTGTTGGACCCAGCAAGCCTTGAGATGTTAATCTTTTCAGGATCACTTCGGGTTGTTACGACTTGAGAATTACAATAGAAAACACAAAGAAACTATGAATCATCAAAATCATAGGAGTGATAGGAGTCTCCTCCTATCACTTCCTGCAGGTGTTCCTAGAGCTGTGGAAGCTGGATCTGTGGTTGGGAGTTTCCTGCTCCCCCCGTGTTCCTGCTCTGCTACTACTCTGCATAGTGTTATTTCTGTCATAACTCCTATCATTATCATTAGTATCAATATACATAAAATTGAATTGAATTTAACTTTCTTTGTAGCACCGTTTGTGCTACCGGACTTCAATTGCGACACAATCTTTTCCACGTACATCCTTGAGGATGGATTCGTCCATTTTCACTTCAGCTGCTTTAACCAAACTCCCTAGCAAAGAGAGAGTTAAAGTTAAATCATAAACCAGCTGCCAACAAATAATATCAAATACATTTTCTCTCTTTTACCAGACTGAACTGGTAGTTGGGTGACAAATTTAAAATCTAACCATTATTTGACAAATCAATTAATTGCCTATCATCACTTCAAGTTCATAATAATGCCTTTTATTATTATTGAGGCCCTACACATATCCTTCATACACCTACTTCATAATGAAGGCTAGGGCTGGCAACAATTACACATGCATTTTTTTAAAATCAACAAATGTATTACTTTAGCTTTTGATTATACGCCACAAACAAAGATGCTGTCTGCAAATTATCTAATCACCAGTATTTATAGTTTCTGCTTGGACCAATTTACCTTTCTTTGTCTTGTGTCCCTCCGCCAACGTGCGGTCAATTCCGTCAATACACTTACGGGAAAACACGACCAGCTTCTTCCACGAACAACTGTTAGTGGCTGTGTTCGTTCTTTGTCTACCGATTATATGTGTGTGATGCATATATAATCCTCATTTTTCTTGCGTTTTTTGTCTGATCAACGGGAAAACGCTGCTCCACGGGAGCAGCCATGTTTGTTGTTGTTCTTCTGTTCTCGCCTCTGAATGGGAGAGCGCACCTGAAGGACGCGCTCTGATTGGCTAACGGCTAGGCGGCTTGATTCGAGCGTACTTTACCGGTGTGATCAGGCTACCGATATAGTTACATTTTTAAGTAATTATTGTAAAAATACTGGCGCAAAGCGATTGGAGAACTTTTGGTTATGAGCTCAAAATGCACTAAGGATTTTTTCCCAGGTGTCATTTAGTAGTCCCTCAATAAGTGGAGCGAAACTTAACGATACAGGCTTCAGCCTATGGCCTATTGTGTGATAAAAAGAAAAAAAAAATTCTGCCGTGATTTTTTTTTTAGCAAATTGAAAAACTAACCCGGTCCTTTAAAGTATGGTTATGGTCAGCCTTCCCATGGAGCTTTGGTTATCTTTCACTTCTCATATATGGCTGTTTGTAAGTTGTGTGTTTTCTACAGTTGTGTTCCTGCAGTTTTTCGAGACAATACTGCACACAGAGTTCCTGATGCCTGTGCCTCCTCCAACATTAACACAGCTAAAACTAAACAAGACAAACAACAGACGTTCAAAGTGGTCCTCTAACAACAGGGTAGCATGAAGAACATGTTTGGGGGCCGACTCACAGTTTTACGGAATCGGTGTTTTGGAGTTGTTGCTTCATTCATGAATGAACCATATCACCACATCGGAGACTGCTTTAAGGCAGACGAGGACATGGAAGCAGTGTGTGTGCAATGCATGTAAGGAGGTAATTAAGATTAAAATCCAGAACAAAATTAAGCCAGATTTTGACTTTGCCTGAAGCTTCTGAAAGTTCTCCTCTCCATTTTTTAGAAACACACATTAAGCATGTGACCATCACTGATCTGATCAAATGATGTCTGACCTTTTCTGCTCTATATGAAACCGCCTCATGCCAAATAAATCACATAGCATGGAGTGAGCTCCTCCCCTGTGTGTGCTCTGCATACACAGCAGCTGCTTTTCCCGGCTGTTGGTCTGTGTTTACCTTCCGTCCGGCTACTTCACAGTCCCTCTGCCTGTAGGCCTTATCAGGTTTGACTAAACTTGTTTAGTTATGTCAACAGATATTTCAGAGCGCCGTCCCACCATCCTTCTACGCCGCACTGGAGAGCCAGAAACTTGCTAAATATCACAGAATAGGAAATTCTAGCATTGACCTTTAATGTTCAGCCAAGCCAAACTTTGAGCTAAACATCCAGCAGGAGCTGTAAATGAATGTGTCTCCATCTGTCTTTGCTTCTCTGCCTTTGAGTCAGCTTTGATTTGCTACACATGCATGAAATTACACCACACAGCACACTCTGGAATGGAACTGACAACTCCATTTCACAGGTTATCTTCATACTTTGCAGCTAAGCCAAAAGACAGAAAGCATAATTAGGATTGGAAGCAGATGATACTTTCCTAATAGCACA